TGTCTCCACCACGTGCACAGCCAGCTCACAGCACCAGCACCAGCACCAGTACCGGCACCCAGCACCAGCAACCTGTCTCGAAAGCGCGCACGGGCAACTCATTGTTAGTTGAAGTAAGAACCCCATAGCTTCGCTATCTGGGGAAAAAGGAACGGCCCACTTTCCAAACACAGGGAACACACGGTCGGTATCAAGCATTTTTTGTGGTCCAACATATATAGAGTATGTGTATATATATATATAGTTTTGGGATGTTTCAGAGGAGAGGGAGTGTGTTTTTAAGCCTTTGCCGATCACAGAAACAAGAGTGATTTTTGGAGACCATGTTGGCCGTTCCTTTCCCATCAAATCTCTTGGCCAAACCCTCAGCATAGCTTCGGCTTTGGTCCACCCTGTATGCTTCGAGCCCAAAATAGTCTCTTTTCTTTGGAACGTGAAGAAACAACCAAGGCATCAGTGACTACCCGGTGTCTACCTTGAGTCGCCAGGTCCCGCCGGTTTGTTGGGATCCTCCACATACGGGATGGATTTGGCTCGAGCCAGGGGGTACCGAAAAAACCTCTGGGTTTTTCCCGCGGAACCTTGGATGACGCGAGGAAACCTAAGCTTTGGCTGGGCTTCAGTGGTGTTCTATTTTTTCCGTGACGAATTAGAGGCAGTCCGTCAGCCTCTGAAGATTCTGAAGATTTCTGGTGCCATCTGTAGACGTCCGGTCACTGGCTAGGTAACCAAAGCTCTCCAAGGCACCAGCCCAGCGCACTCACAATTCCCCACCAGCTGAAGATGTAGACCGGTGACAAAGCTAGCCACCTGACCGCAGAAATTCTGGAACAAGAAGTTCAAAAGAATTTAAAAAAGGCAAAAAGCCGAAAATCAGAAAAGGAGAGTCAGAGGTATTTCAATTTCAACATGAGTCATGTCCTGGATGCTCCTTCCGTCCATTCGTCTCCCGGTGTTCGATCCAGTCAGCGGGACCGGTGCTGAAAGGTGAAGACCACCAAGCAGGTTGTTTCATTCTCTTTGGTTGGAGGCCATCTTAGGTTGAAGGCCCTTGCTATTAGGGTGGAGGCCAATACTCTTAGGTTGGAGGCCATCGCTGTTGGGTTAGAGGCCATTGCTATTAGGGTGGAGGCCAATACTCTTAGGTTGGAGGCCATCGCTGTTGGGTTAGAGGCCATCGCTCATAGGTTGGAGGCCATCTTAGGTTGAAGGCCATCGCTATTAGGGTGGAGGCCAATACTCTTAGGTTGGAGGCCATCGCTGTTGGGTTAGAGTCCATCGCTATTAGGTTGGAGGCCATCTTAGGTTGGAGGCCATCGCTGTTAGGGTGGAGGCCAATACTCTTAGGTTGGAGGCCATCGCTGTTGGGTTAGAGGCCATCGCTATTAGGTTGGAGGCCATCGCTCTTAGGTTAGAGCCCATCGCTCTTAGGTTGGAATCCACCATTGCTCTCAGGGTGAAGGCCCATCGCTCGTAGGGTGGAGGCCATCGCTCTTCGGTTGGAGGCCATCGCTCTTAGGTTGGAGGCCACCGCTAGTAGGTAGGAGGCCATCGCTACTAGGTAGGAGGCCGTCGCTCTTTCTTGCATTGGGAGTCTTTGAAGGCACACTCACAATCTTCCAGCAGTTGGTGAGTTGGTCCATGTTTGTCGCCCCAGCCAAGTCACCACCGTGCCACTACAAAGAGCCATCCAGTCACAAAGACCCAAAAGGACCTGCAAGTTGCGATCTGTTTTCTCTGCGCCGGCCGTGTGTCTTGCCGAAAGTCCAGGCAGCTCCAGACATTGGGTGTGTGACTTGAAAAGATGTGAACACGGCGTCCACTGCGAGATATGCATGACACCGCGACGCCACTTCTACCCTCGGGGGAGTTTGCATCCATCAGGTGCGTCCGAGTCTTCCATCATCTTCCATCTCAAGGTGGAGCGGCAATCATCAAACGATAGACAAAAAGAGCGAGGGAAGATCTGTTGAACATGCTTCGATGACAGCTGACGATTCACTGCTTGACCTGAACATACTAGAACTCTTCAGGTAGTCTCGAGACTAGCCACTAGCACGGCCACCTCGTGATCCGTATTGATGGCCGAGGTGCTTGTAGAATTGGAAGATGACCGGATGAGGCTCCACTTTCAGCACACTTGGAGCCTGGAGGCGACCACACGGAGGTCGTACCGGTACGCCCTGAGACCTTCGACTTCGGATGGAGGAGACAGACGAGAAAGCGCCCAATAACGAATGCCTTGATGGGCACGGGGTAAGCGCCCATGAAGAAGCCACCCAATAACGAAAAAAGCAACGCCAGGGAGTCCGCATGCTGCACCATGCCTAGGCCAACATCAGTCATCAGTCAGCTCAAGACATCTGGCATCTGGGTGTGTGATAACACTCGTTTAAAAAACTCGTTTTCGCATGGGCAACACTCGTTTTGAGGCTGACCCTTTTCCGTGTCAATACCTCAAAGCAAAAGTTTTTTTCGGACAGCCCTTCCTTCCCAGTGCGGTCTTGAGTCAAACAATAGAACACCATTGATTGATGCCAAGTGGCTACTAGCAACCTCAGCATAAAGAGTTTCTCAGCACAAAGAAACTCCAAATACTTCATCCAGTCCAACCGTTTTCGAACCAACTGCATGCTTGATGAAAACAATTAATCTCAAAGCAATAACCACAGACTTTTCCCTTGAAGTGATTCACCAAAGTCTGGAATCTTGCCATCGTTTGTGGCCATCCAACCTGCCATCATCAATCACTTGACGGACATCTCTTTGTTTGTCCTCCATCATCAAAGAAAATCAGTCGCCAGCGCCCAAGTGGACGCTGGAAGAATCATTGGAAGAATCATGGCATGGTTTTTGGGAAGACAACTTTTCCCTACTAACAGGAGGTTTTCACTCCAGTACTCGTTGTTGGGAGGGAGGTTATGCAAAAATGCTATTAGGTTGAAGGCCATCTCTAGCAGGTTGGATGCCATCTCTAGTAGGTTGGAGGCCATCTCTAGTAGGTTGGAGACCATCTCTAGTAGGTTGGAGGCCATCTCTAGTAGGGTCGAGTAGGTTGGAGGCCATCTCTAGTAGCTTAGAGGCCATCTCTAGTAGGTTGGAGGCCACCTCTAGTAGGTTGGAGGCCATCACTAGTAGGTTGGAGGCCATCATTATAGTAGGTTGAAGGCCATCGCTAGTAGGTTGGAGGCCATCACTAGTAGGTTGGAGGCCATCTCTAGCAAAGGCCATCTCTAGTAGGGTCGAGGCCATCTCTAGTAGGTTGCAGGCCATCTCTAGTAGGTTTCTAGTAGGTTGGAGGTCATCTCTAGTAGGGTCGAGGCCATCTCTAGTAGGGTGGAGGCCATCTCTAGTAGGGTCGAGGCCATCTCTAGTAGGTTAGAGACCATCTCTAGTAGATTGGAGGCCATCTCTAGTAGGGTCGAGGCATCTCTAGTAGGGTGGAGGCCATCTCTAGTAGGGTCGAGGCCATCTCTAGTAGGGTCGAGGCCATCTCTAGTAGGGTGGAGGCCATCTCTAGTAGGTTGGAGACCATCTCTAGTAGGTTGGAGGCCATCTCTAGTAGGGTCGAGGCATCTCTAGTAGGGTGGAGGCCATCTCTAGTAGGGTCGAGGCCATCTCTAGTAGGTTGGAGGCCATCTCTAGTAGGTTGGAGGCCATCTCTAGTAGGTTGGAGACCATCTGTTGGAGGCCATCTCTAGTAGGGTGGAGGCCATCTCTAGTAGGTTAGAGACCATCTCTGGTAGGTTGGAGGCCATCTCTAGTAGGGTCGAGGCCATCTCAGTAGGGTCGAGGCCATCTCTAGTAGGTTAGAGACCATCTCTAGTAGGTTGGAGGCCTAGGGTCGAGGCCATCTCTAGTAGGGTCGAGGCCATCTCTAGTAGGTTAGAGACCATCTCTAGTAGGGTCGAGGCCATCTCTAGTAGGTTAGAGACCATCTCTAGTAGTTTGGAGGCCATCTCTAGTAGGGTCGAGGCCATCTCTAGTAGGGTCGAGGCCATCTCTAGTAGGTTAGAGACCATCTCTAGTAGGTTGGAGGCCATCTCTAGTAGGGTCGAGGCCATCTCTAGTAGGTTAGAGACCATCTCTAGTAGGTTGGAGGCCATCTCTAGTAGGTTGGAGACTATCTCTAGTAGGTTGGCCAATCGCTATGGGGGTGGGGGGTATAACAATGCCTCCAGTGAGTCCACCAGTCTACCAGTCCACCTTCCTTCCCTCACAAGGCCAGCTGAGTTCTCCGGCTTGCATTGCACCACCTCCACCCATGGCGGATAGGATTGGCCACGTGTTCAAGCGTGGCAGCGCAGGACACACAAGGAGCCACAGGAAATCTTGCTGGTGCCTAAAAGATATGCTGGTCCATGAACTGATGCCTTGACTCAAGATGCCCTAGATAGGCCGTGGACTGGTGACGGCACAACTACGGCATGAACAGTGCAAAACATGATCATCTGCAATCTATATAGTTGGACTTGTCTATTTCGGCGGGGCTGCAAAACAAAGGGCGGATTCATTTGGCAGTGGCTGAGCAACAAACGTGCGACTTTAGATGGGAAAGCATGATGAACACACCTTGATGGTGGAAGTTGAACAAAGAAACCTTTAATCCCCTTTGAGTGCAGCACATGCAGGTACATTGGCCGACAAAGCCTGCCACAAAGTTTAAATTGACCCCAAGATAAGACACAAACACGTTGACATCAAAACATAGCAAATAGAGGTCCAAGGCCTGAGAATTGGCGGCCGGATCATCAGAACAACTTCTTCACCATCAGGTTGCCGTACCCGGAACCGAGGTCAGTGGCCACGACGTGGTTGTTTATCATCCTCACCAAAACCTGTGGTTTGTATCAAGACAGGGAGAACCCCCAGTCATGTTCCAAATGCTTGCCTTTACCAAAAGGAGATTCTATGTAGATGAAAACTTCCCGCTTCGGGGTGTCTCCGGCTTCTTCTTCTCCACCACACCGGTCGAACTCTCGACCACTGAGGAGCCCCGACGTGGTGCCGGCTGTGCTTCCGGCGCATCGACCGCAAAGAGTTCAGCAGGCGAGTCCTCAACAACCCAACGACCCAACGGCTGGGCAAGGGAGCTCCTCAACAGAGACCTGCAGCGTAGACCGAAACGCATGAGACCCGGGTAGATGGTAGACCAATGAGACATGGTAGACTCCTGGTAGACATGATGTGTGTGTCTGGAGGTAGACCAAGCCCAAGCATTAATTGTTTTAGGAAACAACTGTCCAATGGTTCGGACCGGAAGCTTCGGATCTGAACAGTTCTCAAAAAAATCGCATGTGAAGCAGTTGTAAAAGAGAGTCCAATGGCTCCACCCGACGGCGACCGACCCCAAAACAGTTCTCAAATGGGACAGAACTCTGGGTGGGGGCAAGCACATTGGCGCACCAAGCGAGAAAAACATCAGAAATCCCAGGAGAAGAACATCGGGGTTCCACCCACTGCGCTCGAAACTCGCGGTGCTCTCCCGCCTCTCTGGGGCTCCGGTTGTCCGCCACTCGGTCGTTCTGTGCCGGGCTTCCGGGCGAGGCCTGCGAAGTCGGGATGTCGGATCAGGACATCGCCCACCAAAAAGCTGGGCCTCAGACTGGACGTGGTCAGATCGGGACGCGAGGCGAAGAAAGCAGTGGACATCTTCGGGGTTTGGAGAGAAAAATGAGGACATCCCAAAGCACGGGATTCATGGGATATTCTCTTGGAACCACCAAAGGCTGTTCTCTCCCTGGGTCTTCGCACAGGCCCTCCTGGCACGTCTGGATGACAACTGTCTGAAGGGGGCCAAAGTCATGGGAGTTGCTTGGCGTCATGAACCAAAGCGTTGAAAGATGAAAGACAAACCAATCACTCAAATCAACATCATCAACCAAGCAGGTTGAACCTGATTGGGGGTGCAAACCCCAACAAGTCGTGGCCCCCCCCACCGAAGACTCGCCTGGGAAGACATCGTCTTCGCTCGGTCAATCTGGGCTTCTTTGCACCCAAACTGACCAACTTGCTTTAGTTTCTTCGGGTTTTTGGCAGAGAATAGGGCTTTTCCCAGCCTGCCTGGGGGTTGTGCAGTTTAGAACTTTGAGTTCTTTCTGTGCATCTGCCTACATACCTGATTTGATGCATTTGTATCATACTCTGAATCGTACGACATCTCAAAGTGTCTGGCACTGGAGGGGCACCGTCGTGTCGTGTAGCTGGCACCGCGGTGCAAAAGGCTCGCACCCCCTTGGGCCGGAACCAACGAGCCCCGCTGGCACCAACAACCAAAAACGTGGCCGGCCTACATCAAATGGTGCTCTTGGCTGTCTAAAGTGGTTGAGTCCGTGCTGACAGGTACTTGAAGAGTTGAAACTACAGAAAGCTGCCATCCACTCAAGCTTTTGCAAGGCTTCTGGTCTTCCTGTGAGCAGAGTGAAACAGTGAGATCGCTCTATCGAAGTCTGCATTCTCCAGTGTTGTCTTAAACAGCCAGAGATGTAAGCAGGACTTTGGAGATTCTGCTTTGCGGCCACGTTCGCTCATATGACTCATAAGGTCATTCTTTTGGAGCCTCTACTGGCAACTACAACAAAGAGTTGTATGTCTTAGCCGTTGAAACCAAGAAAACAAAAAAAAGTTCAAGACCCTTCTCAAAGGATTACTTGTTCAATCAAAGGGATTCACATGACGGCTTGGAGCTCACTGCCGTCAAGCGGTGATGTTCAGTAAGTTGATCCCTTGGCTAGCACAAAGTCACCACGAATAAGGCTCTTGTATTTTCAGGTGTCTCTTGAAGCTATGATATCATGACTTATCTTCTACAGTCCGGACGGCCCAGGATGGGATCCACGAACCCTGACTGTCAGGGAACTGACCATCCGAAGGCCGGTGCTTGAAACACTAGTAGCTTCATCTAAAGGCGGTGAGGACATCCACACCACATCCTCACCTCAGGCAGAGCACATGGGGCAAGGCCACGTGGCCGTGTATGCAGGCCATCTTTCTGGCCGTTTTGTGACAATAGATATGCCAGAAACCTGGAAAAATCTGGAAGTGACATCTATATATATATATATATGATATATGTGTTCCCTAGCGATGGCCTCCACCCTAATAGTAGCGATGTCCTTGTTACTAGTGTTCCGCTTGCCCAGGAGGGTGACTGACTGACAGGTCCGGGCAGGTCATTCACCGCTCGGCATTGAATTCCTGAGATGCCATCGACGAGATCATCGCCATGGTTCCAGAAACAAGCAGCACAAAGAAAAAGAAAAAGACGACCGGCATCGACCGGCATGGTCCTGTGCACATCGATCGAGGTATCACAAATCTAAATC